GAAGGTTTCAGACCCCTAAACCCTAAACCCTTTAAAGGCAAATTTTGGCCAACTTAGGCAGTTTTGTTAATTTTTGCCCAATTTGGCGATTTTTGGCAATTTTGGAAATTTTCTAAATTTTGGTCAAATTTTAAGGGGATTTTGAAGGCAAATTTTTTAGCCATTTTGGCAATTTTGGCCATTTCTGGCAAATTTGGCGGTTTTGGCAAATTTAGGCATTTTTGACTAATTTGGCCGTTTTTCGGCAATTTTGGCCAATTTTGGCAATTTTGGACAAACTTTGCAATTTTTGACAATTTTGGCAATTTTCCAAATTTTGATCAAATAGAAAGGGGATTTTGAAGGCAAATTTGGCCCTTTGGCAAAATTTGGAAATTTTTGGCCATTTTTGGCAATTTTGGTGGATTTTGGGCAAATTTGGCGGTTTTGGCAAATTTGGGTATTTTTGGCCAATTTGGCCGTTTTTGGCCAATTTTGGCAATTTTGTGGGAAAATTTTCCAGATTTTGGTCAAATTTTAAGGGTGTTTTGAAGGCAAATTTGGCCCTTTGACAAATTTTTGATTTTTTTTTGGCCATTTTGGCAATTTTTGGCACTTTTGGTAAATTTTGGGCAAATTTGGCGGTTTTGGCAAATTTAGGCATTTTTAGCCAATTTGGCCGTTTTTGGCCAATTCAATTTTTGACAATTTTGGAAATTTTCCAAATTTTGATCAAATCTTAAGGGGATTTTGAAGGCTTTTTTGGCCATTTTGGCCATTTTGGCTATTTTTGGTGGATTTTGGGCAAAAGGCCCAAAATGGCCAAAATCGAAGCCCAGAGCCTTGCCCAAAAAAGCCAAAATTGAGGCCCAGAGCCTTGCCCAAAAAAAAAAGCCCAAAATTGCCAAAATTGAGGCCCAGAGCCGTGCTCCAAAAAAGGCCCAAAATGGCCAAAATTGAGGCCCAGCGCCTTGCCCAAAAAAAGGCCCAAAATGGCCAAAATTGAGGCCCAGAGCCTTGCCCAAAAAAAGATTAAAAATAGTCAAAATTGAGGCCCAGAGCCTTGACCCAAAAAATGCCCAAAATGGCCAAAATTGAAGCCCAGAGCCTTGCCCAAAAAAAGGCCCAAAATTGCCAAAATTGAGGCCCAGAGCCTTGGCCCAAGAAAAGCCCAAAATGGCCAAAATTGAGGCCCAGAGCCTTGCCCCCAAAAAAGGTCCAAAATTGAGGCCCAGAGCCTTGCCCCAAAAAAGGCCCAAAATGGCCAAAATTGAGGCCCAGCGCCTTGCCCAAAAAAATGCCTAAAATGGCCAAAATTGAGGCCCAGAGCCTTGCCCAAAAAAAAAGCCCAAAATTGCCAAAATTGAGGCCCAGAGCCGTGCCCCAAAAAAAGGCCCAAAATTGCCAAAATTGAGGCCCAGCGCCTTGCCCAAAAAAATGCCCAAAATTGCCAAAATTGAGGCCCAGAGCCTTGGCCCAAAAAAAGCCCAAAATGGCCAAAATTGAGACCCAGGGCCTTGCCTAAAAAAATGCCCAAAATTGCCAAAATTGAGGCCCAGAGCCTTGCCCCAAAAAAAGGTCCAAAATGGCCAAAATTGAGGCCCAGAGCCTTGCCCCAAAAAAGGCCCAAAATTCCCAAAATGGAGGCCCAGAGCCTTGCGCCAAAAAAAGCCCAAAATGGCCAAAATTGAGGCCCAGGGCCTTCCCCAAAAAAAGGCCCAAAATTGCCAAAATTGAGGCCCAGAGCCTTGCCCCAAAAAAGGCCCAAAATGGCCAAAATTGAGGCCCAGAGCCTTGCCCAAATTTAGGCTCAAAATAGCCAAAATAGAGGCCTAGGGCCCTGCCCAAATTCAAGCCCAAAACGGCCCAAATTGAGGCGAAGAATAATTTTACTAAATTTGTGTCAATTTGGGCAAATTTGGGCAGTTTGAGTAAAATTAAGGAAATTTAGCTCCTTTTGTCGTTTTGAAGCTTAAAATCATCAAATCCAATTTGCCCTAAATTTCCCACAATCTTCCCAAATTGAGGCCCAAATTCCCAAATTCAAACCAAGACTAATTTGAGCCAATTTTGGGCAATTTACGGAAAATTCAGGAATTTTAGATCTTTGGCTCATTTCGAAGCTAAAAATCACTAAACTTAATTTGGGATGAAGCCCCTACAACAGGTAGAAAAACCTGCCCCCCAGAGGCGGTTTTGGCAAAGCCGGGTTTGTCAAAAGTGCATTTTAAGCAGGTCTAGGCTGGAATGTTAGAAATGCCATTTCGAGGCTAAAATCCATCAAACCCAAAATCAAAGTCAGAACCCCAGAAGCTTAAAAAAAGCTTGCCCCCCAGAGGCCCTTTTGGTTCGAGATTTGGGGTCATTCTTTCTTATATATATAAGATAGTTGTGCTTAAAGTGCACAATCTTTAGTGTATTTTGTGTAACGGTATGGCTAAGGCCTTACAGTTAAGCGTCTGTTCCAGGTCCACAAGAGGCTTTACCCTCTTGTCGCAGTTTGCAGTACGTTGGCATAAGAAAGAATACATGTTTCGGGTCGTAGACCCTCAGTGCTGCACCTCGGCCAGCTAGCGCTCGAAGCCTGCTGTATAGCGCTAGCGGCTATTCTCGCTTAGTTTAGGGTTTAGGGTTTAGGGCGTCTCAGCCGCGCGGCAGCAGAAGTTCGAATGCATGGATGGCGCCACCACACACCTGAAGGGTGTGAAGGTGGCGGCATATCGTGGGACGGTGTTTGCATGCTTCTTTGTTGTTGGGCCCTTGGACCTGGGGCGCACACCTTTCTTCCCACCCCTCTCCAAATAGGAGGAAAGCCACCCTGTTTTCCACCTTTTAGGGTTTACGGCAAGCCCATAAATTCCCACCTCAATGTTTTATGGCAAT